CGTAGTACAAGTACTTGCCCTTCCTGTTCGTGAATTTTTTTGCCTCCTGTCCTCCAAGTGAGGTCAGAGGCCCCTCAAAGTACCAAGTGCTGCACCGTGGCCTATCCCCCCTGCCCTGCTCCCTCACCTATTCCCCTGTGGATCCTTACCGTTGTGCCCTGGCCTCGTCTTCAAGCCTGCTGCCTTCTCACAAAGCTCTTCTTACGCCTGCTGCCTCTTTTCTCCTGCCACTTCGAATTCCTGCTGTGGCCTCTTCAGCTGCCTTGCACTTACTTTCCAAAACCCTGTAAATATAAGAGCAGTTCCACTGCACATAAAGGCTCAGCATGAAACATTTATAATTTCCGTGCTGGCCTTCACTGCAAACTATCAAGGGCAGAAATTGCCTTTCAGCACTTGTGCCTAATAGCATAGAGGTTCCTGACACTTCTGGGAAGCCCCTGCTGGTACTGCTCGGTAAACAGCAATACCTGGTTTACAGGGTAACGTACTGTTTTCATTCTCAATAAATCACTGGGCTAGTTTGGATACAATTCTGTATGGATCACTCCTGCTCAGGAGAACTGCCGCTCTTTACCTCATGCCAGGGGAGCTGGTTTCCACGGAGCATTGTTTTTCCTTTGTCTCACTGAGGGCAAACAGGAACCAGGGAACAACCTGCAGTGACAGATGACAGTGTTGCTATCCCCAAAAGACTCACAGGGTCAAATTCCATTCTAAATGCTGAGTGGGACACCACACATCTGGAAACCAGAACAATCTGGTAGGTGCTACCATGCTTACCTACCTAACCCCTTCTCCTACAAGTAGACCCGTCCAGTGAGAGCTCTGAGGGGTTTTCTTGGTGCTTTTCTGGCCAGAAGCCGATGGATTTTGCAGTCAAGGCACATGGTGCTGTGGGCACTAGGACTGCTTAGCTGTCCCCTACTGAATACAAAAGGGAGACAGCTGACATCAAGCTTTGCTCGGAACATAGTAAAGATGACATTGCAGCGGATGATAAATATTAATGGCAGGTTTGACAGATTAAGGATGCCACCTAATAACAGCACTAGATATGGATACATAGGTCCAAGTTTTTAAGAATCTGTACTCACAGTCAGGAGACCGGAGAACTTGGTTTCCTGAAATATTGGTGCCTTTGTAAAGTCCCTAGTTGGGAAACTGAACATCAGTCTGTAAACCTACAGGTCCAGCATCCCATTTTACAGGGCTTTTTATAAGGTAATGTCAATCACAAAGAAAGGTTAGAGGAGATAATGTTCTTGAAATTTAAACAAACAAACCCCCCAAACTTCCTTACCTCACAAATATCTGGGATAAACTTGACAGTGAGCTCTTTAAGCTCCTATGGAAACTACGTCGCCCGCACTTTTCAGGTTTCTGTTTTCAAGTACTCTTGTCTCTAGTGGACAGCAGGAGGTCAATGGGAAAGTGTGTTTCAAAGGCTTTTGTAATTAAGAGTCCACTGATTTGCCAAATTGCGTCAAAGGTCAAAGACTGTGTCAGTAGCACAGCGCCACGCAAATGATCTCTTTAAACTGCCATTTGGACACGGGTCAAACAAGAAGGAGGCGGCAGGGCTTTTTTCATGGAAACAGCCGCCTCGGAGCAGCACGCTCAACTGTACGTTAAATCTATTGCCGTATTTTTCCTGAACAACATAAACACTTTTTTCTAAGGCCCTCTTGAGAAGCCCATGGGCCGTAGCTGCAGACACCGCCTGCCTGTCCTTGCAGTCGGCCTTGCCGCCTGGCCGGC